AAGGAAATCGCGTATAACATCAAACAACGCTACTATTACTACAATTTTAATTTTAATTTTATTATTCTACAGAATTCTACATTTTATAATTTAGTAAAATAATTTGTACACTTCTGGTTTAATTGTGTATATGAGTTGGCAAAACAGTAAAATAGATTTAAATAAAAAATAAAAAAAAACGCTAAAAAATTTGAAAGTTTTGAAGATACATCAGTAAATGTTAGGTAGGTTCGGTTTGATTATAAAAAAGTTGAATTGACCATAACTAAAGTCTAAAAGAATAAAAAAGTTGGACCCACACTTTAAAGGGTGTTTTTTCAAAACTTAAGTCATATACTATTATATGACACCGGCTGTTCCCTTTTTCACGGGACACATTATATGTACCTACATTATTTACTGTTTCAATAAGATTCAAGGAAATTAAATAAAAAATAAAAAATGAGAATTTATAATAGGTACATAAACATTTTTTTACTCTAAATTATTATAACCAATCAATAACTTATTCTAATACTTAAAAAAAAAAAACAACTTGATTGGGTATTTTAAAGTTTCAACAAATTATACGAGGTAAAATGCATTATAAAATTAAAGTGAAGAGTGATGACTGATGATTCAAAAGTTATGTACAAATACATATAAAACTCGTAAGTAATATTTTGTACTTCAGGTGATGCTATAGTATTTTGGGTCCTCTTCTATAATCCGATGGACATTTTGTGATGTAACTCAAGCATAGTTTTAGATTCTGAGTAGAGCGATGAATGTAAATATTTATTTCAAAATGATGTCGGTTTTTTTTATTATTATTATTATTATCGTTTTTGAAAAAAATGTATAGAAGTAGAAAAAAAATTCTACTTAACTTTAATGTAGGGTGATTTTTGGTACTAGTTGGTACTTTGAGAAAGTATATAGTCAGAAGTAAAACGATCACAGTATTTCTCATAATATGTATAATATACATATTATGGAAAACAAGAGTTTCTTATGTAAAACTAATTTTCAAAATCAATTTGTTTTGTGTTGAATTTAAAAATTATTTACTGTAGACTTAAATTTTTATATTAAATATATATGGACATTAGACATGTAATAAATTTCTTATTTAGATTATGGTTACAAAACCAATGTTGTGATGAGAAATAGTTCTACACTAAGTGGTGAAATGTATCGTATTAATTATTATAAAAATTTTAGGTATATTATTACGTTTATACGTTTATTATTAGTTACATTCAGAATAAAATTATACAATGGTTCCGAATATCCATTACAATTTAACGGGGGGGGGGGGGGCTACCATTTTTAACATAAATGTGAGTGAGCAGAGACTTCGACACTATATAACTTAACAACTGTATAGTTTTGGGGGCCTAATTGGATATTTAAAGCGAGCTAAGCCCCCTCCCCCAGAACTCTGAATTCCACCTATGATGGTTCGTTTACTTCATTACAATATACCAATAAATAGTTATATTTATGTATACGTAATATATTGTGATATAATTATAAAAATTAAGTTTATAGTAACATATTATTTCATGACAAATTAAATTATGCCGGTGGAATTACCTTGTCTTAAACACAGTTGTAAACTAGAAATATTTTTAAGTTTTTTAACACAGTCGTTAGGGTGGTTTTGACCAATTATAAATTACTGAAGGATATAATTACTAAAATTATATCCAATTAAAATAACTATTTTTTTCTGTAACCCAATACCAATACAATAAAACTATATACAAACAAAAAAATATTCGTTTTCCGTTAGCCAAAAAATTCCTGTGTGAGCCCTTCTTTAAAATGCAAAAATTAAAAACATTGGCTTTGAGGTGCACATCCTCGGGTGCCTATGAACCAAATTTCAAGATAGACAGATACACAGATACACAAATATAGCCTTTTATTAATATAGATTACGTGGTATCATTTCTATATTTCAGGGATATCGATTTCCCAAACTGATTTTGATTACCGTTCAGGTAAAAATGCCCGATCGTGCTCTGCACCAGATTCACTATCTATAAGACTGTTAATAATATTTATTTTAATATAATATATTATTAATATTTAGTTTTTACGGTGATTGTATAGAAATATTAAGAAATAGAAAAGTAAATAATAGTACACATACCATGATTACTCAAAAAAGGGCAGGTAACTACTGTTTGTAAATACGTGCGCGAACGATTCGTAAAACAATGCTCAAATTAGTTGTCTTTTAGAGAAGTTCTGCTTAAAGTGGTTGTAGCCGGATATATTCACCCACTGAGAACTCAATCTCTGCTGCAGATTCCCTTGACCTAATGTTTTTAAGCATGACAAACGTCACGAGTACTGTTTGATAATGGACAGGGTTCAAAATACAAAGCTGGGAATTAATAAGTTAAACAATTAATTTCAACTTAATTTTTTACTTATAGTTAATTACTTTTTGGTTTTGGTTAATTTAATAACTAAATTAACTTAATTATTTTTTAATTAGCGCGAAATCGCTGAATTCAGTTATTATTTTTATTAGTTAAGTTAATGTAGGTAGGTATTTGTTTTGAATTTTATATAATTTTATCACGTTTTGATTTCGTTTTTATCAAATTTACACTTAACTGACTTAAAGAAAATCATTGACTTGACCAGCATTTTTAACACCAAACAGATTATAATTAATTATGATATTAGTAATGTAACTTTGGTTGTTCATCTATTATAATATGTAAACAAATATTTATTTCTTATTAAGGGGATGCAGTCGCTGTATTATAATATACGCAAAACAGTTGGTGGTATTTAGAGTTTACACCAAATCGCTAGACAAAAATGTAAGCATTTTTTAATGAATTTGAATTTATCAACAATAGATTAATGAAACAAAATCTATTTTCAAAAATAGAATCCATTCATCTAAGTCCTAAAGTTTAGGCAGGTGATATCATATTTTACATCGTTATGGTTGACTTGATAATAGTGACAATACTATTATTTATTGATATGTGCCTGCGTGGAAGAAAATGCTTCAAGTGCATTAATTAAAAATTAATCATTTTCTTCACACGGGCGATAAAATGTCCGAATCAAATCAACATTAACAATCAATTTATTAATGTACTTATGTTACACACTGACAAGTCATAAATATTCCGTCATTAACAAGTTGACTTCAGACATGCATGGGATTAGAAATCTGGTTGCTACATTTTTTTAAAGAAAAAAAGACGTATAATACAGGCATTTTCAAGGGAGGCTAAAGCCCCTTAGCCCCCTAGTTCCGCCCCTGACTGCAGACACCTTGAGACTTAAGAATAATCTACCAATATTGAAACGTCGTATAAATACGTTTTTAAGGATTCTGAATAAAATAAACTTAGTTTTTTTTACTTATATCTATTTTAATTCTTAATATCTACCTGTGTGAATGTTGTTAAAATGCGTAATTTTCGCCATAACTTCAAATTAAATAAATTACTTTTCGATTTAGCAAATAAATTTTATATATGTACCAACACGATTCTGCATAGTTATCAATGTGTTAAATGTAAAAACTAAAAAAAAAATTTAAAAGCAAACATATTATTGTAAAGTACATGGAAATAGCTGACCATTCTGCCGCGTAGTGTAAAAAAACACAACAAAATGTTACACATTGTTGTAGACTGTAGTTATTTAGTTTAATATTATGCACTAGCTGACACGGCAATGCTTTGCTATTGCTAGGCTTTTTATTATTATTAAAATCAATAGCAACCATTTATAAACACAAATAATAATCTCAAAATCCCTGTTTAAGAATATCCCTGGGTTGGACATTTTTCTAAGTCCTAACATTTGCAGTTGAAATGTTTTAAAGACAGTGACAATATTAAACTGCTAGATTGACACCAATCTAAGTTCTTTTCTTGGACAATAATCGGTTAACTGTACTGCAATTAATTATTTCTGACATGTATACATATATTATATAATTTATATTCATTACTAGATCAAACGAATGGCAACGCTACTTAAAATCATGTGGAATCGGTATTATTAATTATATTATCAATTCAATTTTCGATATCATTCTCTGCACCCGATAAAATTGAATGCTTAACTCTTGTTGGTTGTTACTATTTATAATATTACTAGCTGAATTACCCGGCTTCGCCCGTGTGTAGTTTTTGTTTTATCAAAATTAAATTCTTAAATCAACACAAATTGTTGTGTTTTAAAGAAGAAAAAATATGTATTTTACTTAATGCTATCAAGTGCTAAAAAGGTAGTAGTTGCTGAATTATAAAGACAACAAAAATAATAATAATAGTATTTACAAATGATATAACTTTTTTTATGAATATTTACAAATGATACGTAGTTTCTCAATTCTAATATGGTTTAAGTCATAACCTCTTGGTATACCACATTTAGAGTTTTATTTTGTGGTGCATAAACGTACAAATGGTCAGGTCCTCCAACTCAAGAAAATGCCACATACAATTCTCCGTGTGAGAAACAGTTATTTTCTAAATCTACACCACAATAAGTTAAAGTCTGACCTTGAGCTTTGTTTATTGTCATTGCAAACCGACTTTTATTGGAAACTGAACTCTTCTAAACTTAACTGGAAAATCGTTGGGGTATAATGGTATTTTCGGTAAAAATATTTTTTCTCCCTTAGCACATCTGGTCAAAATTTCAGCTTCGATTACATTTTTTGTAAGAGAGGTGACACGAAGCCTAGTCCCGTTACATAATCTAGGAGAAAACGTCTTAGACGTTCTGTCTCAATTTTCGCGTACACGTCTACCAAATACATGTTAAATAACTGCCGAAAATAATGTAAATAGTTGCTATTATTTTTCCGTATCATGATTCTATACGAATAAAAGCTAGATGCTGACATTTTTTTTTTATCTGCTTGATTTTTCGTGGGATCAAATTTCGGAATAGCTATGTTGTATCCGTCCTCACCACGACAGAACATGAGAGGATATTGTAGGGCATCATATGATCTATGTAATTCATTTATACGTTTCAACTTTCAATGTATTATTTCGACCATTAAGAACTATATCACGCTTTTCGAATTGTTGACCGTCTATCACGATACCGACTTCATTAACTGAAGGTGCATTAAAACGTCCAGGATGATTGCCATAGGTTACTCGTTCTGCATGTATAACTATATTTAAGTTTTCCATATTTTCATTTTCATGTGAATCTATAGCAGCCTTAAAAGATCTTATAAGATTGTTATGTAAATGAAGCATTTTTTTTAACTCGATTACAATTATGGGGTCGATGTTAGGAATATTTTTATGCCTGAATTCAGCTTCGGAATTGTCATTGCCTACAAAGTATATTTGTAAAAACTTTGGTTCACTTGAATGCACGGGGAATAAACTGCCTGCAGTATGGTATATTTGCCCTTGTATCTTAAAAGTTGGCATGAATTTATCATGTAAAACTTGTTTTCCTCTAAAAGAGGTCATTTGAAACGCACAATTATATTTTCTTCTTGCAGTCAGAAAAGATTTAGATTTTGTAATATTTTCACCAAAAATAAGACTACGTAACGGTTCTGGTGGATCTTCAATAGATTGTAATTTAATTTACCGTTCGAACAGCACAGTCCTGGGGATTCCGCAGACCATTTTAAAGCATCACAAAAATTACACAATTTATCCATGAGTCCAATTTTAATGTGTCTACTATTTTTGTAATCTACAATTGGCGAATAATTAAAAGCAGACTTTTCTTTATTGTTCCATTCAATATTATTTTTATTACCTTGCATAGCAGTTCTGTTATTTTTATTAATTATACTTTTACGCTTTTTACGCCCTATTGCAGTCTTTGTTTTTATTATTTTTATTTTTTTGTTTTTTAAAGATAAAATATCAGTACTCTGGGCTACATGTGAATGGTGAGTAGGGAAAGGTTGTAATAATGTACTGATTAATATGTTATTGAAATGGTTACGTAACGTCCAGGTTTTACATATCATATTGTTGTAATCGATAATATAACATTCATCCGATGGATTACGTCCAAATATTAGTGATGTAGCAAATGCAATTGCAAAAACTCCACATGAATACCCATCTGGCTGTTTTATAACAGACTTAAACACAACATTGGATTTTGAAGGATATAAAATATCCAAAATCTCAAATAAATTATCATTAAGCGTATGGTATAGACTATCGTACACTTCTACGCACTTAGTTTCATTACGATAATACACACATAGCCAATGCCCAATAGCATCATTTCCAATAGAACCATCATATAAAATTTGAAAATCATCCACGTTCTCAACGGCTGAATACATAAGTGGTGTTTGATAAAATAATACGTTTTGTGGAATAAATGATGTTTGTAATTTTACGATGTCTAAAAATGCATTAATAACATCGTCGTTTAAATAAGAATTATGTATTGCTAAGGCAGTACAGTGGTTTTTACTCATAATGTAAATGACAATTGTAGTTAAATAATTTAGGGAAACACCACACAAACGCGCACAGTTCACCGATCACACAGTACACTGATAAACCATCAATCGGCGCGCGTTCGGCGTCTGGCGGATCGTCGGTCGTAAGGTATTTGGAACAACTTTGTGAAAAAAAATTGGAAAAAAGTTAAATAGCGTCGTCACAAAATTGGTACATAAAAAAGGCCTGTTCTTTTATATATATAAGGATGTATAATGTATTATAATATGTTAACATAAACATATTATAATAATACACTATACACAACAATAAACGTGAAAAAGTTATGACCATTTAAAAAAAACATTTTCATCAATGACTTATTTTTAGATTCTGAGCGGAGCGAGGAAGCTAGTGGTTATACAATGGTGTTTATTTTTTATATCATATATACAAAATTTCTACCAGAAGCAGTACTTCGATTTCAACATATAGTACCTTATATTTTAGCTAATTGGATCAAGATGGTATTTTATGGAGGTCATTTTTCGATTTTCTCAAAACTTATTTAATGCCACGGGAATAAATACTAAAAATTACGAAAAACCGATTAAAATGGGATTTTAATTTCTAACGATTTGTTCATCACCTAAGCAACGAACAAAAAATTATAATATTAATTCAACTTAAAGACTATAATAAATAATAAAAATTTAAAAAATCCAGCCTGATAAAGAATCGTTTTTCTTATACAATGATATTATATCATTGAATTCAAGTTTATGCAATCCATTATACATTTACCCACTTGTAATCTACTGTACAGCAGAGCGACATCCACTTACCAGCTTTTTTTAAATGTAAATAATATGTTTTATCGTTGTAAATGTATAAAAAATATTTAAAATTGTGTTAAACTTACCTATTTTCTTACACACGAGACAATATTGTTCCATACATGTTATAATATAATAACATAAATCATAGTATATTATTATATACGTTTGCACATGTTTTGGTGTTCGCGTTCGTATTATAATAAGTTACCCGAGCCCTAATAATATAACAATACGCATTTCGAAAGAATTAGCCGGCTCATGCAGCGGATTAAATTCGACCGGAAATAAGTGACTATACGATGTTATAGGGGGAGAATCAAATGGGTAAATGTTAGCTATAGCTGGCGCATCATATTATTATTATTTATTATATTATAATACGGTGCAGGCGACGATATTATAATAATAATTATGGTCATTGTGTTTTTTATTCGGCTTGTTCAGCAGTGCTCATTTCGAGGCGTATTATTTATTTTAGTATTTTTTTGTTTTATTTTTTTATAAGCTATTATCCGGCTATACACACATTATCCTAGATGTACTAACCTTGTATATCTGCATTATTTCGATTTGCATTTATTTATATTTAATCACAAACGGTTTTATTCAACACCAAATACTGTATTATATATGTATCATAAATATATTCAATTAGATAACTGAAGTATGTTTCTTTGCAAACCACAAGTTATATCAAAAAACCATTTTGTTAGGAATAGGGTGATTTTCTATTTTGGAGTATCTAAAATAGTCGGTAATAGTGTGTTATCCTATTTTACAAATCACCAATGTTTAAACAAAAATCAAAATAAATTTACTACTCAAAATTAACAAATATAGTATTATTTCATATTTTTTTAAGTTATTAAAGTTTCCAATTGAGAAAAAAAACGTGTTATTTTGGATTTATTTTTCTCGAATTCCTGATATTTTTAAAAAAAATTAAATAGATTAAATAGATTTTTCCAAAAATAGTAATAAAATACGTTTTTCATGTATATAGAATTACTTGAATTAGTATGTATACAACATAATATGATTTAACGTTATTCGTTTGTAAGAGCGTTTGTTTTCCGAAAGCGCAATCCCTCTGATCCGCGAACGATCGTGTTTTCATGTTAAAAAAAATCTTTCCAGCCGTGGTCGCCGTCGTGGTGTGCTGCCGACCAACCCCCAACGGACCTAAAGGTTTCGTTGCCTGGGTATAGTCTTGTACACTGCGGAAAAAAAATGTTTTCAACTTTAAGAATGCGTGGTGGAAACTTTTATATATAATATGCATTAATACTGCACACGGTAAACAAACGCGAATTCAATTTGTGCGTAAAAAACAAGTAGGTACTTACAGCATTTATCAATAATTCAAAATAGCAAATAGTCTTAAACAGCTTGGGAGGGGGGGCTGATGTTCTGCAGAATTTCAACAAAATACGAGATGTGAAAAAACGTTGAATTTAACATTCTTTCAACTGCTTTTATACATAGGAACATGAGTTTTGAGGAACTAAAAGTCGGTTTAAAATATATATAAACATTTTTTTTTAAATTATAACATTATGTCCATACATTTCTATAGCATAAATATTTGGGAAAAATTTCTAGAATCTACGCTGTATTTGGTTTGTGAATAATTACCAAGCTCGGATTAAGGGGGGTAGGGTGGGCGCACAACGGATATCGAACAGTAATAATAATAATAATAATAATAATGATATAATAGTGGGCCTCTGACGGGTAGTACGTTTCCTATAATATATAAATAATGGATATGTAATAATATGGCTTTAATAAGGCTTGATAATTAGAGGAAAATAAAAAATCAATTTTGTCGAAAATTGGTGTATTATAAATATTCTAGTTTTTCAAATTTTTCTTGAATAGTTGGATGTTCAAAACGAATAATATTTTTTTACATTCGACCCCTTCCCCTAATCTCAAAGTATCAATTGTAACCAATTTGTTACTAGAATCCTGTTTTAAACTTAAAGATTGAAGCATTTTTACTGCACTAGAATTCTAGACAATTTTTTTTTTTTAATACAACCTATAAATACATTATTATAAAACCAATATATCCATCGCTCTGCTTATCTAAAACAGTACATAGAAAAAGGTGTGTAATTTTTTTTTAAATATCAGTTAATTAGATATGTAGAAAACATATCCATCAGCAATATTGGTATACCCTCTGTATATTCATCCTTAATATATATTTTACAAATTCGCTTAAACCATTAACAATCTATAAATGATAAAAGTAGGCGTTTTTGTAACTTATTTATTATTTTATCACTATGTGACACTTAATTTTACTATTACTATTGAAAATCAATAATCTTTAAGTTTAGTTATCTTGGATTTTATTTACGACATAGTGAAACACGAATGTAAATTATGAAAATTAATCATCAAATTTCCGGATCCAATACTCGAATATATCAATCAAAGAACTGTATTATGATGATACGTTTTAGTGTTGAAAACCAACTGAAAATCGTTTAGATATATTATTTTAGTAAGCTTTGTACTAATACTGAAAATAAAAATAAAATCAATCTTTAATATACTGTGATATGGTGACGTTTGCATTTCATATAAATGACTGAATTTTCGTTTTGTCGTTTCATCGTGGAACGAAGTATTTACCAAAATAAATGTTTAGGTACCTAACGGTTGCTATATATATCTATTAATAAAACCGGTCGACCGGTTCTTCTTGCGACTAAACAATCACAATGATAGATAATATCTATTAAGAGTATTATTACATTAATAATTGGTATACGTCTTTAGTTGGGGAATTGCTAATCATAGACCATACAAAGTTTAAGCTTAAACTTTAAGTATTACATCGAACTATGAATACATTTGCTGGTGCCATTCCTTATATATTATATTATTATATTCGTCCCGGGTAAGACAGATTCGGAGATTTATTTGAGTGACCATTAAGTAATGTTTTCTCACGTTACTGTATAGTGGTGTGGATACATATTTCGGTGAAAAATAATGACTGAACGTTAAAATAGACTTAACGAATATACAAACAATAATATTAATATCGTAATACAAACAGACGAAACAAAAGAACAAACTATAGTCTCGCTTTATTAATTTGCAAGTATATCTATGAAACAGTAGACCGCTACAAGTGACAGCCACGAATTCTAATTCGTAGGAAATGCCATGCCTGTTCGAGATTCGGCGAGGACGGTGCGATTTCGATTTCGATGATGACAATAACACGTGAGCCCGGTATTTTATATATTATTCTCTTTCGAACCGGAAATCGCGGGGAGGAAAAATAAATATCGCCCGGTCCACCCCCCCCAACCCCTACCCCAGACGCGGAGCGGCTCGATGAAACACTCGTGCCCGGCCGAACTCCGCCACCCACCCCTAACTAACCATCCCCGACGCTCACACACCCTTCCAGCGGTCGGCGGCCAACCGGCACAAGTACGTATACGCACTCGGACATCGGTCTCGCGCACGCACGCACACGTGGACACACGGACGATACCCACGTAAAATAATATTGGACTACACGTACACTCGCGCGCGCGCCGTACGTGTGTGCGAGTGTGCGCGAGCGGATCAATACACCAAACGTTTGCCAGTGTATAAATATAATAATAAAGCGGTGTCTAGTAGTAGTAGTAGTAGTAGTAGTAGTAGTAGTATAGTAGTAGTAGTAGTATTAGTGGTAGTAAGTATAAGTAGTGGTGGTAGTATGAAAGTATAGCGGTGGTAGTACATATGGTACACGGCGTCGGTGATTGTCCGGCCGGTGGGCCGGCGGACCGTGGCCGACGACGACGGCGGTGGAGGAGACGACGACGACGACGACTACGGAAAACGGGAAAAAATAAAAACCGGTCGGCCGGTGGGGCGGGTCGGGGTGGGTGGAGCGCGTCGGCCGGCCGGTGGGCGAAAAAAAACCGAGACTGCGGGCGGCGGCGGAGTTCTCGCGCGAGATGATGTGTTATATACGCCGCGGGGGGGTGAGGTTTGTGAAGGGGTAACAGCGGTAGGGGGTAGAAAAGCGCGAGATCGAGTCGATATCGGCTGCGCGACGTGTGTGTGTGTACGGCGGCGGCAGGTTCGTCGTCTCTAGCGCGTTGTTGCCGCCGCCGCGGGGACAATTGAACTTTTCCGATATAACAAGCGCCTCCGCCGTCATGCCCTCCTCAGCC